AGTAACTATTAGGTATCTGATAATATTTGAGAACTTTCATTACTTGCAGGCACAGGCATTGCTTCCAAAGTATGTTAGTGTACCTGTTTACTGTCTGTAGCTAAATAATTAATTGTGGCAAACATTTTTAAAGCATATGTTATTTAGTAACAAGCAGAAAACATTTTTTAAATTTTAATGAGAATCTATAATAAGAATGTAGTTTCTTATCTATACCAACTATATTCATTTCAATTTATGCAATTTTGCTGCTTTTAGATTCTGAAAGTTGTGTTGGCAAAATGAATACAAGGTGATGATGCAGGTTTTGAGTGCAACATAACATGTTTTAGAATTGCATGTTATTCCTAATATATGGATTTAGTGAAGTGGGGGGGGGGAAAAAAAGTAACTCTGATCTCTAACCTATTTCTGCAAGAGTGCAGAGTAGTCAGTTGTCTTAAATGTGTGTCCTTCCTTAAAAGAGTTGTTACACTTTTTATGGACTGTGAAGTGTTTATGTTCAAATGTATGTTTTACCTAAATACAGTTTGTTTGTTACTAAGGTAGCAAGATGTGATATTTGAGCCTCAAGAGAATGACTTGCAGCAGCCACCAAGCCCAGACAGTGTCTAGCTGGGTTTGAACATCTCATAAGAACCTCTTCCTAAATACCAGCGAGAATTAGACTGTCCTGAAAGAGGCATAAGATAAGTAAGTCCCATGAGGTGCCTTACTCACAAACATAGTCCATGGTTGCATATTGCGCGTTTCTCACAGTTTGACATAAAGAGCTCAGTAATAATAATAGGAGATGGATAGTATCTGCATTCCAAGTGCAGTGTTCTTTGCTAGGGTCTGGGCAAGCACAAATACAGACTGCACAGTGAATGGCTTGAAAGCAGCCCTGAGAAGGATTTGGGGATGTCAGTGGATGAAAGACCCAACATGAGCTGGTGATGTGTGCTTGCAGCCTAGGCAGCCAACTGTATCCTCAGTTGCATGAAGAGAAGCATAACCAGCAGCTTGAGAGAGGTGATTCTGCTCTTGTGGGACACCACCTGGAGTACAGCATCCAGTTCTGAAGTCCCCAGCACAAGAAAAACATAGAGTTGTTGAAGCTGGTCCAAAGGAGGGCTGTGAAGATGATCAGAGGGCTGGAGCACCTCCCCTAGGAGGGTGGGCTGAGGGAGCTGGGACAGTCTGGAGAAGAGAAGGCTCAAAGGAGACCTTATAGCAGCCTTCCAGTACCATAGGTTCCTATCTGTCCGTACTGACTTTGAAGTTCACTGGGACGTGAGTTTCTTATTTATCTTTACAGATCTGCTATCAGAGAGGATCTAAGGGAAAGATATGAAGAGGGCAACATGGATGGGGAATGCTGAGGTCCCTGAGTTTCTGCAGCCCAGAGCAGAGGAGCTGAGGGGAGGCCTGACGGCGGCTGCAGCTCCTCACGGGGAGCGGAGGGGCAGCGCTGAGCTCTGTTCTGTGTGACAGCGACAGGGCCCGAGGGAACGGCATGGAGCTGCGTCAGGGGAGGGAGGGTGGCGGTCAGGGACAGGGGCTGCACCGGAGGGCGCTGGGCACGGAACGGGCTGCACGGGGCAGTGGGCACGGCCCCAGTGCCGGAGTTCAGGGAGCGTTTGGGCAGCGCTCTCAGACACCGGGTCTGAATTTTGGGTGGTCCTGCAGGGAGCCAAGAATGGGATTCCATAATTCTCGTGGGTCCCTTCTGACTCAGAATATTATTATTATTATTATTATTATTTTTTTTTTTGTTAATGCTGATAACATTCACATAATAAGGTCAGTGAAGCACAAATTTTTAACTTAATCCATGGAGCAATTTTGTGTTGTAGAGAGTAAATTTGGAATGTCACTCCAGCCCAAGTAAAAATCCCAGTCTTTCTTGTGATAATTTAATGTGCATTAAAATAAAATGATCTTTGGGATTTCAGTGCTTTGCCTGCTTTTAATTGGTGCAGAAGAGCTTCAGTTAATTTCAGAGGGGTTTGGGAATGCTCCACAATACAGAAATTCAGGCCACATATATTTAGGTGCCCATGTATGGATTCTGAACCTTCTTGTTGACATTGCAAGTATGTGTGGATTTTGCTACACCTCAGCTACCAGTGACTACATCTAGCGATTGCAGTGTGGGCTTAATATGAATACACAAGATAACAAATGGAAATTAATCACAAAATGCTAATGTTGCTTAATGGAATAAACAATCCTAGTGAATGCAGAGTTCTAGCAGCAGTGTATTGGTATTCTGTGAGATGAGGGTCATTTTGTGTAAAAGCGCTGCTGGCTCTGATCTCTATTTGACATGTCCACAGTGTGGAATATGCTGCTGAGAACCTTCTGAAACTTGCTAGGGTATTCTTTGCAAAGATGTGTGGTTTCCTAATTTGCGATCTATGGCAATTAGACCACAGCAGTGATGCTATGAATGTGATTTTTTTCAGGATAGAAATGTGCAGCAGAGAAGAAAAGCTAAATCGCTTGCTTCAAAGCCTGTGTTTGTTCTTGACAAAATCATCAGTAAAACTTCTCTTGCTCTTCTCTATAACGGGCAGTGAGTTATATCAAAGCTTCAGTGGTCGATGACTTGCAATCAGGTGAGACACTCTGAGGTGTGCTAATGGGACATCTGGATACTGTTAAAGTTTGCATTAGCAGATGCGGCATTTATAATGTCCAAGGTTTTTTAAAAGGCCAAATGGTTACTGGATTTTTGTTTTCTTTGAGAATTAGGAAACTTTTACTGCCTTCTACTGTAAAATGATTAGAAAATCTGTTTTACTGAATGCTTGCCAGAAGAAAGAAGCTTGCAGTCTTTCTCAGTGTCGCCTCTCTTATTGACCTAATCCTTGTTCAGCCTCAACCCTGGCAGTTCTGAGAGCTCTGTCCTGGATCACTGAAGAGATTTGAAAGCATGGAGACCTTACAGCAGACTTAGCTGTATTTGCTATAAACTTAGCTGTTCGTTGGTAGAATAGTCATCTTTTTTAGAATGGTGTTGTTAAATCATTGTCTTTTATTCACGAGAACATACTGGAAGAAATATTCGCTCTGCAGGTAGCTTTGTTGTATGGAGGGAGAAAATTGCAAACAGTGGTAGGAGCAGCATGGCTTCAGAACAAGCAACTTTGCTCATGCTCAGGAACGCATATCTCAGTTTCTGTGATGACTTTTTGTCAAAACGCTTTACCTTATCTTTCACTGTAATGCTTTCAGCAAACAGTCATGTTACATCATATTTTGCATACAATTTTTTTTTTTAACATTTACACTGTTAAAATGTTAAAATAAGGCAAAATTCAGGATTTCAACTGCACAAGATGAACAATATCAATCATTTATTGTACTGATAGGCAGATAATCTTTTCACTATTCCTTCGCTTTACATATACAATTGTATTTCACATTGCATAGAGTGAACAAGCAGGTGAGAAGTTAAATCACTGTGTGGAGTGGGAGTAAAGCCATGGGAATGAGCTAAATTAATCTCACTTCAGTTTTTGTGCCTTTCTTCAGCAAGGCCCCATCCTGCACTCCATAACATGTCAAGGCTGAGGGAGTCTGGGGCCTTAAGGCTGTTTCTGAAATGGCATTTAGTTGCCTGACTTCACCTGAGGTCACGGATTAATTTCAGTTGGATTTGAGTGCCAAAATAATCTTGGAGGATCTGCTCCTCATTGCTTGAGATACATTTCAAATAAAATGCATTTCCTACTGCTTGTTAAGTAAGTGATGCATTTGAGAAGTTATATAAAGCTAATCAGCTAATCTTCTAACCTGCTTCTGAAACAGCTTTCTGTGTATGGAAGTAACACAGATTTAATGTGTTGCTTTCTTAACTTTAAGACACAGCCCAATTTCCTTCCTACACCAGTATATACTGGCCTGGATGTTCGTAGAGGTGCTGGTACAAAGGTGGTGTAAAGTAAAACAGCCAGGCCAAAAAAGAAAACAAAATAAATAAAAAAAAAAAAAAAAAAAAAAGGAAGAGGAAAGAGCTTGTTCCATATTATATTTCACATTTTAAAAAAATACTTCTCTAGCTTAATAAAAAGCAGAGCATGGGTAAACTGAATTACTAAACTGTTATAAAATCTTTACTAGGTCTTATATTTATTTTAGTGTTAACTTTTATTAGTATTATTACAGATTAATAAGTCAGTGTAAGATCCAAGGAGGCACAATTTTTCAAAATAATTGTTTTGTCCTTTACATGGTACAGAAAAGAACATCCAGGAGAGAGACAAACTAGACAACAGTAGTCTTAGGATATTAAATTTAATCATAGATTACACAGAATATGATGTAAAAACAGCAATTTACTAGAATAATATAACCTGCAAAATGTGAAAATAGTTTAGAAAATGGATTGTCATATTCTCTGACACAGCAATAGTCATGAAAGGTACACTTATAATATCATATGTTAATCTGTGTATTAACTATGCTATCTGTCATTTAATCAGGATTCCAAGACAGATTAAAGGCATTTGTTTCTGAAGTGCCTATGTTTAAATTCAGTAAAGTTAAACAGCAAGATTGAGAACAGCATATTTTTGACAACTACTGTGTGGAGATCTATCACAGATAAATGCTTCCTCTATATACTTGGAGTTCATAATGAGAAGAGTAGTTTTTCAACTGCAGAGAGCACAGACCTGTAAGTGGTGGTTTGACAACTGGAAATATTTCTTGGAGTGTAGTTTTGGAGTGTAGACATGCCTACTTCTTTTTCCTTTTCCAGCCTAAATCATATTTCTTCTGAATTTGTATCTTAAAACAAAACAAAACAAAAAAACAACAACAAAAAAAAACAAAAACAAAAAAACAACAACCCAAACAAAAAACCCAAACGTGTAGTTGTAAGTGGAAGAGAAATTTCTAGACCTTTTGTTATGTAGATCAACAAGGAAAAATGTTGCAAGTGTCAAAGGATATGGTAACCACAACAACATCAGCAGGTGTAATTTTTTTTCAGGCATGTTCATGAAAGCAAAAAAAAAAAAAAAAAAAAAAAAAAAGCCAAAAAAAAAATCCAACCCCAACATGTTTTTTAGTTTCTTTTGAATATACAGACTGGCCCAAACATAGACATTCTCTTTATCAATCTTATTGTTACAAAAACTGTACATTACCAACACTATAGAAACAAACTTAAAGGAATGTGCCACACATCCTGTTTAATTTTCTATATGCAGTTTAAAAATACAGCCTACTCCCTTATAGTGCACAGTTATCGTGTAGATAGAATACATCACTAGTTAAGTGGACATGAGAGAAGAGTTTTAATTTTCCTCAGCACAAAGAATGAGAGCCAGTTCTGCTCGGTAAAGCTTTCCTCCATCAGACAAGGCCATGATGCTTTTCTTGTATGTCGCAAGGTTGTTAATGTCTAATTCCTATTTAAAGAACAGATAATGCTTTATAATCCTGTTTAGTTACCAGCATGAACAAGTTTGCTGCCAATAGCAGAAAATAAGGAGGGGAAAAAAAAAAAAAATGATGTTCTCAGCCTTTCTAACAGTAACACATTGAAAATGTTGTTGTATATTTACATGATCCATGTTATAGGCATATGTTAGACTGCTGCTAGCTGATGCCTAATAAGCAAGCTTTTGACAGTGTTGCTGTGTAATCACAATTCCCTTAGTTAAGGCTTTACACTGCTATGACTTCTGCCAAGATTTTTAGTTTTGCCTTGACTTCAGGAATTATGACTTAGAAGTTCTATATTTATCTTAATTGGGTGGATTAAAGTGTCCTTAAAATCCAAATTAAATCTAATCTCTAAGGGGAAAAAAGCCCTCTGGGATTACCTTTTTGTTCTTTTCACAGAGATCCTTCAGTAGTGCATCAAGTTCATTTTCATCTATATATCCATTGCCATCCTGAAAAATAGCATTAAAGAGAACATCAAGCATTTATTCTTCTTTTCAGAGGTTTTCCCCAAATTCTGAAAACAAGTGCCATTAAACTAATCAATTAATAAAAAGGCTTTCTAAAGACTTACTTGATCATACATCTCGAAGGCTTTATTGAACTCTTTTGCACACATTTTGACACCCTAAACACCAAAAAGAAAAAAAAAATATCCATTTATGACACTGAATATGTGTAATATTAACAGTTTAACCATAAGACAATGAATTCTTACCTGAAATTTAATAAGAAAATTTTCCTGTACTGGGAGTAGCCTTTGGACATAAAAAACAAAGGTCAACATATTTACTGTAATTAGTATATAATATTTGTTCTGAAAGGAGACAGGAGGCATACCTGGCTAGTTCAGTAAGCTCCAACTTTCCATCATTGTTTGCATCAAACATCCTGAGCTGAAAGAGTACATGTTTTTACATTACTAATTGCAATTAATTAACATAGTAAAGAAGACACTTATTTGGAAAACAAACTTAATGAAATTTAGCCTTTGTTTAACACTGAAGTGATGGCCCCAAGTTTTAACTGTCTCATTTACCATGTAATACATGTCTTTAATGTGCGGAAGAAATAATTTATAGTCATTAATTGTACTGCAAAAGCCTGATAAGAAACCAGATGAACAATTTTGATTAACCTACTCAAAGGTAGGTCTTAACCTGCCTAGAGTGATGAATGTCCCATATAAGAAATGTGTGTAAATTATTTATAAGATAGAAATGTTGACATGATAACATTTTACTTTTTACTTCATGTCATATAATAATAGCATCATTATTCTTCCTTCATAGAGCTGGAACAATAGTCAGGTAAAGTTCAACAGAATTCCAGACATTCAATTTCTTAGGAAATTATAGACATTTCATTCAATTGGCTGCTGGGCTTAAATATGTAAAGATTGCATTCTTTTTCTGTGATATATTTCAATAAAAGACTGAAGAGGTGCAGTAGACATTTTATTGGTAGTATAAAAATGGGAAATAAAGTGTCTTCAAATAATTCTAATCAAATTGTAGGAATAAAAATATATAAAATTTGACAAAATAGGCAAATACTACTTCTAATCACTCTTAATCATCATATTGCTTTAGAGTGCTTTCCATTTAGCCCTTGAAAAGATGAGCTCCTGCTGCATATATTTGTTATTAGAAGTAGCTGGAGATATTATCCCTGCATGGAACTTCCTCTCCCATTTTTTCTGTCTATATAGTTCAGTTTTTCTACTTTCAAATAGTATTTTGCCTTTGCTGTATAAGAGACACAAAAGCAGCAAACTGTACAAAGCATTTTTAGGCATTGTACTGAAAACAAATACTACCACCCACACTCATTCCATCACTTTCAATCACAGTAATTCCAGATGTAATTTTTAGCTAAGAGGAAAATTTGAGCTGTGTATCAAGGTAAGTGAACATCCTTTCAAATGCCATGAAAGAAGACTCATTTTCATTTTTCTAAGATACAGCGAATGGCAATGGAGAACAGAAAAGAGACCAATTCTATAAACATTTCTGTATAACACCCTAGCTCCTTCTAACACCTCCCTTCCTTGTGTAAAAGCATCTGCTTTGTGTGCATTTCACATGAAGGAGTTATATTTAGAGGAGGTAAGCAGTGGGAGCTGTAAAGTCAATTGTTTTAACAGGTTGTTAGTAACTGTGCCTGCCTGCAGGTTCTAGATGCTGTGTGTTTTCCATCAGCCTTAGTTCTGAGTTTCTGGGGAGATTATGGAAGTGTTGGCTTTAAAAGTTCTTCCTTATTGCTCTTAATTCTTTGTCAATGTGTCTCTCTGCAGAGGCCCTTTAATACGAAGGTCCAAAACTAAATGAATAGGATATGTGTTTTATCTTCACTGGGGAATAAACAGTGACAATTGCTAAATGTAAATTTAGGTAAATGACTTGTACAACAAACCAGCAGACTTCTGTCAGGAAAGAAACAAGTTTTGATCAACCGTTCTGACTTCAGGCCACTTCGAGTGCTTGCATCAAAAACCTAGCATGTTTTTGATGGCTAAAAATATTTTGGGATGAAACCAAAGTAGGAAAACCAAAGTACAGTGTTAGAAATTTCATGAAAACAAGAGTTCTGAGTCTTTTTCGTCTTGAAATTTCCATTCAGATGCCAGTAGTGTCTATACCATGTAGCACAGTAGTGGTGGATAGAAGGAATGCTCGAAGGAAATAGTTGATTTAAGGCCAGAGAAGGAAATAGTTGATTTAAGGCAAGAGAAATGACAGTTTGGTTATAGTGCATATTAGGAATATTATTCTTTTATAATTACACACAAGAAGTGAGAAGAGTGTGGTGCTTGTAAATCTATTAAGAATTCATCATGCATTGATGGCTTTTAGGACAAGAGACAAACACTGCAAACAGGGAAAATATACAGAGTGATCAAAGTATGATAATGTAATTATGACTAGCACAGTTTTTCTCCTTTGAACTCTGAAGTCTTTGATTTTATCCCTAACTTTGATTTTACCCCTAACGGAATGGGGAAGTAAAACAGGGGAACATTCTTTGCACCACACTATGACAGGATCTACTGTTTAATAAGCACCGTGAAGGTTCAAAATTCCTGATCCACTTTTTGTAGCAGCTCTGAAAAGTACACAGCTACTGGGGTACTTGCAGTGCTTGATGTCATCTCAGCGCTGCAATGACACAGCAGCCTCATTTGGCCTGATTATGACGTAGTGGGGCCCAAGTAATTTGGAACCTTCTAGCAGCTGAAGCTAAACACAGTCTTGACAAAATATGCCGTTATAGATTCTTACCATTATTTCTGTATATTCTGTTAGCTTTGAGTCTTCAATCTGCTTATTTGCTTTCTGTAATAAATCTTTCAAGAAACTCTGTTGAAATAAAGAGAGTGTAACAGGTGAATTTTTATCTATGGTATAAAATGCTTGACTTGCTAACTTCAAATTAAAGTAATGGGAAATACTACTTCCAATTTAATTTTTATTGTTGCAGTTCAAAATAAGTAAGAAAAGGCATAGCAATTAACAGTTATGTCTGTAACAGTTTCTTTATGATCATTTCAACTATACTACACAGTTTCATAAAGCGCTGTACATTGAATGACATTTGTTGTAATGTGAATTTGGAAGAAATGGCTTGACAAACCTCTTCATAATCAGTTCTATCAGTAAATTAAACCAATTAACCTTGAGACTCCTTGGAAAACTTGGATGCCAACACAGGAACAATTTTACAGAAAAGATCAATGATTAATCATTTTCCTCCTTGCCTGTGGCAGTAACTGATGCTAGAAGTGAACATGTTAACCTATGTCACTCCCTCTCTCCTCATACTTTAAATCTGTGTGGCCAATTTTGCTAGATTTATTTATTTATTTTTTTAATGAGAATTGGATGCAGCATCCTGTGGCTTTCTAATCAGATATTTTGAATGACAGCCATTTTTACTTAACAAAAATACTACCGATTCTACCCATGCAGAGGTTGAAATTTCTGTTACAAGACTGTTACAAAATTTCAGCTGTACTCTTTGTAAATGGACATTACTACAGAAATATGTTTAATCTTATGTGCTCTCATGGAAAATAGGGCTAACCTGTCCATCAGAATGTCTTGTGACAAGATAATTTACACTTAAACTTTCCTTTGTCACTGTCTGATCTGAGCTGTTACCAAAACATTTCCAAATATGCAGTGATGGAGTGTCTGACTCCTCCTGAGACAACATATTCCACTGCCAGAATTGTTGATGGAAAGTTTTGCTCACTTCCAACCTAAATTGCTCGCTGAAAGTAATTAAGTAGGTATATTCCTTACTCAGCAAATATTTAAAATGTTTGGGCATGGCAAAAAATATAAATTATTCCTAAAATTAAAATTTCACATTTATGTCTTATTTTCAGAGACTTTTTTCTCTGAGATCTCATAGCACTTGAGAGATAGGACCATTAGGGGTCCAGTTAAAATTTCTTAGTTCTTCAACTATTCCTAAGTTAGCCCTGCCTTTTTAAAGTCTATTTTAAATTATAGCAGCTGGCAACAGTCTGTAAAGAACTGTCTAACAACTGGAGAGTAATCAATAGCTGCATGTTTGGCCTCCTCCTGCTTGTGACAACTTCTGATACATAAATGTGCTGTGAGCAGGCAGCAGAAGAATGGGCTTGTCTGTCTGCGGGCTACATTGAGGAGGATTCCTTGGTAAGTGCCATACACGTACAAAATTCAAAAAAGGGAAAAGGAATAAATTGAAAAAAATAGTCCAAACTAGATGGATAGACACTGCTAAATCTCTTACTACGAATGGTTTTGACTTCTCTGAATATAATCTACAGCAACCGAACTGTGGAAAAAAGCTCCTTTCTACTCAATCTGCTGTATATGGCAGCTCTCCTATGGGGAAAGGCTGAGAGAGCTCAAATTATTCAGCCTGAAAAAGAGGATACACAGGGGAATTTCATCAGTGTCTATAAATATGTGAAGGAAGGGTGCAAAGAGGACAAGAGGCAATGGGCACAAATTGGAGCACAGGAGGTCCCTCTGGGCAGCAGGTAGAACTTCTGTGCTGTGCATTGCTGGAGCACTGGCACAGGTTGCCCAGAGGCTGTGGGTAATCCTCCCTGGAGACCTTCAGAAGCCACCTGGCCATGGGCCTGGGCCCCCTGCTCTGGGTGTCTCTGCTGGAGCACGAGTGGGCCAGATGGACCCAGAGAGCCCTGCCAGCTTCAGCCATTCTGTGATCCTGCAACAATGATTCAGCACCTACAAATTTATGTTAGTTTTATGACAAGAGTAAATCATTCCAGTTTCAAGTTTTGTTAATTCTCTAAGACTGAGATGATTAGTGGAATGATTCTGCCCTTTTTATGCATTTTAAAACTGATAGATACCTCCCACCAAGTTAGCTGAGCATGGGCAAGACAATTCCAGCTGTGTTAACAGTAGTGCAGTGGAAACTGAACAAGTTGATGATACTTGAGAGAGCACAAGCAGCCCAGTAGGATAATGATTAATAGTAATTATGCCCATAGGAAAACAAAAACACACACAAAACAAACAACATCACAAAATCAGCCTCTACCCTAAACAGCCTCTGAGAAGAACAGTGTGTCTTACTCAGAGCTGTCTGGTTTCCCAGGGCAGAAATAATCTTTCCTACTTCTCAGTGAGAGCATCAGCCATCTCAAGTCGCTTGAGACAAATATTCATCTGAGTTAAACCACATTTTTAGAAACATTTATCAGATTAGAGATGCACTTTAAATGATTTACTGGTGATAAAAACACCATCTAATCATATTGCTTTCAGTTGTGTCTGAAATGCAAAAATATGCACCAATGAGTACGAACAAACAGATCCAGTGTCCATAATCCAATCTCGAATCTCATTTTGTGCACACTCATTAGTATCAGCTTACCTTAAGTTCCTCAGAATCAATGAAGCCACTGTGGTCACTGTCATATTTTCTCCATGTCTGCAATCAGATGATTTGATAATGAATTTATGGCAATCAGGTCTCGGATGACTTTACAGAAGGAAAAATTTCACAGTGTACCTGCATGAAATCTTCACTCGACTTTAGCTGCTGGCACCTAAAGAACAACAGGAAATTCTCCTCCGTCGGCAACACCTGAGCAAGCTGTGACAGATTTTAAAAAATTAAATTAAGTTCTGATTTTCCATTAGGCCAGATGAGCTTTTGAATGAGTATGGCACTTTTGAAAGCGTGTGAAATTCTGCATGGTCCTACTGTCTTAGTATACTCTCACAAGAACCTTCATCCCATAAGCCCAAACATCAGGATGATGCCTCTGAAAGGCTTCTGGCTTGCAGCTTTTCCATATTCATCCAAGTCAAACAGAAGTGAGGACTGAGGTAAGGCAATGAAACAGCAGTTTACTGAAGGAAAAAGGAAAAAAGTTGACCTATTCAAAGTCAGGATCTGTAATAAAAACCTCACAATCAGTGAGAAAGGGAAAGCATGAAACAAAGATATTTAATGGATGAGTTTGAAGGACCATGAAAATTAAGAAAATGAGGAAGAAAAATCACTAATAGATACCGAATATGAGGAAGAAGAGGCAAGAACATGTGTGTAAGGAAAGCAGAAAAATAAACCAGAAAAAAAAAAAAAAAAAGAGTATATAAAGGTTGGCAGGGCAAGGAAATGGCAAATAGCTGTCATTTGTCAGATACAGAAACATTTTCAAGAAGAGCTATAACTATCAGAAGGAAATCAAAACTACTTTTAGCCCTACAGAATCAGGGGTGGTGTTTTTTTCCAATGTCTGTGTTACAAAAAGCTTTTTTAAAATCAGACATTATTGTACTGATTTTTTGAAAATGTTCATTTACTATAACTCAATTTTGACAAGTGACAAATGTAGAAGATGGAGAGTATGCTATATAATTAAAAGTAAAATCATGATTTGTTTTTAACAAAAGCCCAATATTTCTTTTTCTGTTCTTAAAATGTATGAAATATTTTTTGATTAGAGAAAACTTTTAACTTGAAGAATAGACCAGCTGTGCTTACTAGGAAGAGAAAACAGGGAAAAAAAGATATCTTAGCTGCATTATTTATGAAAAATGACATCTGCAGACTTCCTGTATCTCCATCTTAAAATTTGTATTCACATTTTTGCTTCATTCATTTCACATGCTCAGATTTCTTGTTTTGCTATTGCCTTATTTAGTGCTTTCACCCAACTGCTCAGGTTTTTTGGGGGGTTCCCATGGTGCTGTAGGTGACTTCAGCTCTCCCTGTCATTGTATAGCCACAACATAGTTTCTCTAAAATTATCTGCTCAAGAAGTCAGTCATATTCATCAAGTGCTTGTACAACTGAAAACACAAGTCAAAGTACTCTTCTTACAGAACAGAGCCACTGATTACAGACTGCCAAGCATCAGTGTTTTGAGTGTTTTTGCTAAATGGCTGAATTGAAAACCTAATCAACTTAAACAATGTGTTTTTGTCAGCAGCTTTTGAAATCTACTCCATTATAAATAGCAAATAATGTGTGGATAAGTATGCATTCATATAGGTGTAGCAGCTAAATGTGTGGAATTTAGTACCAGTTTATGGAAAATTTTCCTTATTTCTCCGATGAGAGGAAGCTCTGACTTTTGGAGTAGACCAGCTGTGCTGCTCAACAGCAAACACTGAATGGAAGAATTGATAAAAAAAAACACAGTCTGGGGAAGAGATTGCTTATCACAATGGGACCTTTCCAAAGAATCATGAACAGCTTACTAGCAGTACCAAACTGTGTATGAGGCACAAATAGCAATAGCAACTTAGTGCTTCTGTGCACCCTACTGCTTTCATGAGTAAGCGAGGACAGCATCAAAGCCCAGGCTCGATTTAACTCTCCCTACTCAGCTGCAGACTGAGGTAGATCTTTGTACGCTACCTAGCAGGAAAAAATACTCTCAGTTATTAAGACAATATAAGAACTATTTTCTAGAAATCATTCTTTAAATAAATGTCGGTAATTAAGATTCCTTTTGTATAATTCAGCGAATTTTCTTCTCAAAATCCTATAATGGAGAATGGGAGTAAAAATCGTTTATAGTAGTCAGTGGTTATTTTTATGGCAGAAGCAATTGTCAAAGGATGTGAATGTGGAATTACTACTGTCCTGAGTCTCAAAAATCCATGTTCCACATCTACATTTTAGTCCAAGCATTAGCCTGAATGAACACAGAAAGTGAAAGAAAGGGCTCTTACAAAATGATAAGCAAGTATAGAGGTCTGGCTCTGCATTTGACTTGTGAATGCTGGCTAAGATCTAGACGACTAAGTGCAGTGTGCTTCCAAAGACAAAGCTGACATTTAATCTGAGCACCAAACTGAAAATCCACTCCTTCCTCTATGAAGCCACCCAGGTCTCCTCTTTATCTCAGCCCACAAAACTTATTATGTGAAAGACATTTTCCTTCAGCTGCTGGGGTATCCGGTCTGATGGCTGGGAATCCAAATGCATTCACATATAAATTTTTTTAAACAACATTCATACTTCTTTATTTCAGAAAAAAAAGTGTTTACTGTATTATGTAAATTGGGAGCAATCTGGAATTACTGGGCATTCTTATTTATAAGGAAGGAGAATCAAGTTCAAATACCAACTTTAAAATCATACTGCTTGTAAAACTTAGGCTGAGTCCCATCAGCACTTTCCAAATCAAGCTTCGTGCTGATGTCAGTGAAATAAAATATAGATCTTGGGTTAGGAAACTGCTATATTAAGGGAGAGTCCCTTCAGTCACTGGACTGAGTGCTGTCATTATTCAGTGGCTTCAGTGGATGCTGAGTATGCTTGGCAGCTCACTGGAGGTGGTAAGCACCTTACCGTATTAGGCCCTGTGGGATTTGCTCACCTTTATGCATTAAGTCAATAGTACAATCAGAAATAGAACTTGAAAGGCAAAACTCTCCTTTATCTTCCCTAAGTAAAGAACAACAGTCACTGCAGGCACTGTCTGCTTATTCTTCTTGCATAATGCTTGCTATTACACAATTCAAAAGTACTGAATTAAGTGGGATTATTCAATAATAAATGAATAAGCAGTTGTTAGCACAAAAATAATTTGTAATGCTAAGTATTGTCAAAAGACGTATTTTAAAATTGCTTACAGCCGCAAGTGAAAGAAACTGTGTTTCCATAATTTAGTCATAGCTAGGTTTTCATATACATAAGTATTTTCAATTCAAACATATGACTGAGGAGGAAAAATATCTTCAAATGATGTATTATATCACTAGTGATACATCCTACTGAGTTTTACAGACTCTAATCACTCTTCTATTTTAAAAATAGCTACTGACCCAAAGTTGGTCACTGTAGAAATTTTGCAGACCTGGCTTGCTTTCAGCTGTTTCTTAATTAGCTATCTTAGATCATATTTCACACTATCAGAAAAAAATAATAATCATATTTAATAATAAAACTGCAGTCTGTACTGCACTCAGTGTGATATAAATGAGTTGTAGATTTAGGCTTGAAATAGTGCTTTCTCAAGCTGTAACCCAATGACCTCTCCTTTCTGATTTGCAGCACTGAACAATGAAAGTATGAGAAAATACAGTGGTTCCCTACTTCCCAGAAAGTCATCTAAATTATACAATTGTTGAGAGTCTGCAAGTGTAGAAAAGGTTGGCTGACTGCACCTTTATCCTCTTTAGAGAGTGGTAGAAAGGAATGGAAATATTCTGCCTCAGGTTTGGTTAAAGAAAAGGCTGGATTACAACTACTCTTAAAATTCTGCTTAAGTTTGCCATGATTAACATCCTATTTTGCCATATATGTGCATTGACTACCTATAGCGACTGCCCAATTACATTCACTTGCAAGTTACCTTACTACAGGAGCGGTGATGGAGTGTTAGTTCAAAATCATATGTAGAGATTAATCATATTTACCTTTCACAATTTAAATTTCTAAAATAGAGTTTTTAGCTGCTTTACAGGAAAACTGCATTGTGTTGATGCTTATTTATACTGAATCAAGTATGCAAATCTAAATGAAGTGTAGTGAAATATCTGGCAAAGGCTAAGGAATATTTTGCTTTTGGGTAAGGAAAAAAATCATTAGTGAAAAAAACACTAAAGATTCTCAGAGAAAGAAATTTTCTGTTTTAGTAAAAATCCAAACTATTTACTATCTTACTATATAACTATCTTACCTCAACAATTCCTATTTTTCCATCAGTAGCCTTGCCATACTGGTCCACGAATGCTTTCATTTCAGGTGTTAAGTCCTGTAAAGTTATAATGAAAGAATCAATATTTTTCAGATGCAGAGAAATGTATGCAAAGTACTTAAATATTCCATCAGTTGTCAATAAATTTACTATATTTGATTAAATATTCACACTTAATTATAGTTAGATTTCTCAAATTGAAGTGAAAATGAGTAATTTTTTTAGGATAGATAACATCACTGTGATAAGTTGTATTTCCTAAGGGGTGATATTATAGTCAACGTTAGTGATTGGTTTCTAAATTTTTAGAACTCCTATTTTAGTTTACAGAATAAAGAAACTGAGAAGACAGATGTGTTGGAAGATACATATAACAGCTCTTCTGTTTGAAGAGGATGACAGTGAAGTTCATTCTTAATCTGTTTTCTCAGTTTTCATTATTAAATGACTAAATTGAAGGCAGCGCAAAATCCTTCAAAATAAGAAACATTTCAGTACAATACCTCTGCATACCAATATGGCCTTTCCGCATCTGTGAGCTGGTTTTACCTGAACAATGGATGCTATTTTAGCTCTGAAAGAACTAACCATAATATCATATTCCTCACTGTCAAGTATATAGTTATCACGAAAACAGAATCCAAATGTCACTGCTGTAATTTAGAGAGAGAAGGCTTGGGAGAGAGATGCTTTGAGCAGCACCTTAAATCTGACATAACAAAGCCAGCAAATTGTTTTTTTGTATAAATTATGCCTCTTACTATACATTTGTACTCAAATACTATCTTCAGCCTAAGTTACAGCAAAGGTGCCAGCCTCAGGATGAATATTTATACACCTGATTTGACACTTCAACTGGACTTGCTTTGCCTTGCTATGAGCTGCCATCAACTTTCATTACTGATTAAACTTCTATTTTTCCTTGTATTTCTTATCAGACCGAGACAGTAAAACCATGCAGCAAGAATCAGGACTACAGCTATATTAAACTAATGGAAAATTCTATGCTTATAGATGAAGATATAGCTGTCATTAGAAATTAAAGTTTTAGTTGCTATAATAGTTCTGGTTATACAGGACCTAGGTGAATTTCTCACTGGAGACATGGGAACTATCAGCTGTACAAAGTCTGTTGAAGTTTGTCCCAAATTTCAACTTCAAATGCTAACTTAAATGTCAGTTCTTTATAGATGATACAATCGTGGCCTAGTATCCTATTTATGTCAAAGTCATCCATGGCAGGTTAGTAATTTGCCACAGCTTTAATTAGAGATGTAGTTATTAATACAGTGCAGTTCAATGTCACCTCTCATCTAATGATCCCAAAGTGGGCACAGATTTGTTTAGCAGTTGGAATGGAGAATTTAGACACCTGGATTTTAATTAGTGCTTGTTAAATATTTTGCTAATTCTTCTAGTATCACCTCCACAGTGCCAAACAGTGGTCAACCACTACAGGAGACATAGCTGCTTAGAGGCTACATGAAACAGGATGCTCATGCTAGTCCAGAAAGAGTCTTTTTTCTTTTTCTTGGTGCTTACTTCAGCTGCTTCTGAGGTAGCTGACAAGTCATGTTATTCAAATACATGTTCAGTCAAAAAACTTGTTTAAACTTAATCAAGTGTAGTTGCTTAATGCTTGAAATTAAGAAACTTCGCACCTTCATCTCCCCTCCTAAAGCTTAAGAGTCACTTACTCAACCAAGAGGAGTTGTAGAAAAAACAGCTCTGTTTTGGGATGATTTTTGAAATGTAAGGATAGATGGCACTACAGAAGCGCTTACATGACTGCATTGATAAACATCTATTAAATATTGGAATTAATGTTGGAATATTGAGAAATACTGTCCTCATCTGTATATGCAGAGCAAGTGAGTTAACAAATGTGGAGTAACTTTCCAAGATCCACTCTACTGACCTCTGTGTCACTCATTTACACTCCACAGGTTCTTCTCGTAACTTGCACACTTAGAGAACATATTGCATAAAAAGTAGGGCACAGCAAATGGAAGCTCTGTCTATACATTTATACAGTTTTTATCTTTAAAAAACTGTCAGTTCTTTCATAATGTCTGAAAGTATGCTAGGTCAAATCATTATCTATCACAATGCATGAAGTGAAAACACATAGTGTGACCAGAGAAAAGCCCAGGCCCTTAAACCCAGTACACGTCTATCCTTTGGAGCACTGGCAGTTCCAGCAATGGGGCTAACAGCAACCAAGCTGCATGCTATAGCTCCATCTTAGGAAAAGCAACTGTGAAAGTAGTACAGGCTTATTGTGTGGATTAATAAAAAGATTAGAATTAGAACATAATTAGAACAGCTCTCTGTAGCTGGGAATAATACTTAGAAATCTTAAACCATCCTGTTCAGTGACAGAATCAATGTGATTCTTTAATGCATACGGCATGACTGATGTAAAATCCAGCTATGAAGAATGCATAATTGAATATTTCAAAAATAGTGAGCAGGAAAGTGACTTGAAATGCAAAAGTTAATGATGACAAAGAAGCTTTGGCGTGTTAAGGGAAGGACAGATGAGGAAATGACATATAACTTACACTAGTTTCTCAATGTGTCCCTTCTGGCAAAAGAAAAGAAATTTAAAGCTACTGAACTAGCATCCCACGAGACAAGACTTGAACTAATGAGATGCTTGTTTGGCAAATGAACCTTCAAATCCAAGAATCAGCTTAGATTTGAAAGCTAAAATGACATACATCCATAATCCAGAAAAAAAAAAATCAAAGGTCAAGGTAACATCTACCAAAGGCAGAGTCAATAAACCATGTACCAAATTTGATGTTGCTACCGTGAATTGTTCTTCTCAAAAGAACACCCCAAAACCAGGCTTGATTCAGAGAAATGGCAAAAGAAAGCTTAATTAAGCTCCTGAGTGTTTTCAAAACAGAATGTGAGATACAAGGAAAGGTTACTCAAAAAATAGAATGAATGGTGAAGTGAAGCAGATAAGAAGAGTTCTGCAAAGTTCTTCTGTGTTACTTTGAGCAAGCTCTATTTTTAAGAGATGCACACTTCTTTTGAGAGAGAAAAGATTCTGATTTTGAAGTAACTAGCGTTTTTCTTTCAAGCTTCTAATTCGTTTTTCAAATTCCTAAATATCATCAGCACTTCTACTGACAATGTCATTGATACTAAATATAAACAGGCTTTAGTATCTTCTTTCTAACAAACAAACAGGAGTTTCCTTCACTTCTCCACAGAAAAGAGATATTTTCTGTTATAATATCTGACAGGCACAGAAGTTGTACTTATTTTTTTCTGTGCAAAAAAAGAAAGAACAAAACCACCTATTCTCTCTGAAAACCAATTTTTTGTATGGGTTTTTGAGGCTTTTTGAAATTTTAGTTTGTTCTTATTAACACTCATGAAAATGAGTGTCTACAGCAATTGCTATAAGAATTGACTGATACTTAGACTTAAAAATGAGGCATTGCTGGGAGACAGATTTTCAAGTGTGTGAAGTCTGCACTCATAGGATTACTAAGAAGCTAACCACAAGAAGATTTTCCACAAAATTTAAGAGTATGATTGTTTTTTTCTTTTTTTAAATTTGCTTCTAAAATCTACAGCAATATTAAAGTAAGTTATAGAAAGGTTATTGCTCAGTTCAGAGTTTGTTTTGTTTTGTTTTTAATGTTAAGTAATAACTTATTTCCACAAAGCACACATGCTAATTGGCTTTTTTTTTTTTTTTTTCCTTTCTGTTACTTTGGAAGTGTTTTAGCATAGATTGACTTGAGTAGACTTGGTAATGTTAGATATTTGAACATGGTGCTAAGTAGCCTGTTTTAGAAACTGATGACCCATAATTTATTTGTTAAAAAGATTCACTGCTATTTAAATTCAGATCTTTTCACGGAACCGTTCCTCTCTCTTTCTCCCTCTCTCCTTCTCTCCACACTCTCTTTTTTTTTTTTTTCTTTTTTTTTTTTTTTTTTTTTTTTCCCCAAGTGGGAATAGTTTGGAGGAAATTTGTAATTAAAAAATTAATAGCTGGCATTTGACAACAGCGTCAAAAACGTTGATGTCTCTGCTAGCAATCTGAACTACCAGGATTTGGTACTCATATTCCTGGTGTGCAACATTGGCAAAGGGCAAAAAGTGTTTAGCAGTCATCTGCAGATCTATTTACTGACCACCAAGGGGCAGGAATGCATTTCAGCCCATACTGTCCATTAAGCATGATATTAAAAGAGCCCAACTAACTTGAAGAGTTGGGTTTTCTTTTCTATTTTCTCTCTCTTTTTAAAATAAATTTATTTATTTTTTTAAGTATCAGTGCATATCTGGATCAGGTTGCAACAGGACAAAGTCTACCCATGAAAAAAGGATAATGTCCACGCATTTCTGAATTTTCTTGTTAAGCCCTTTGAGAAGTCCCAGCTCACAGACTGGTGAGATGTGAACAAGACTTGCTCACCAGCTGAATGGACACCCCTGACACCACCCTTCCAAATCAGAGGGCATGTTTCATTTAAAACCTGCTTATTTCTAACCCATCTACTTCTCTGCCTCGTGAGGCTGCTGGATGAACTGTGTGAAAGCAACAAGGAACAGAAGGAACAAAGGCACTGGGGTTTGCTCAAGAAAACTCTTCTTTCCCAGAGGGGATGGAAAAAGTGGGGCAAAAGGTTAACCTACCAAGCCTGCCTTCTTCCGTGCCTGCTGCAGCTCCTGGATGAAGTTTTGTAGCTCCTTCCCATCCATGTACCCATTGCCTACAACAAAAAGAGTTAGGCTTGTGGTCACCGCTCCCTCCAAACTCTCTCCGCTCTTCAGCGCTGCCAGGGATGTCTCTAGCCCGCGTTCTCCCTGCGGAGCTGCTCCCGCACTCCTTGCCCGACCTCCACCCCAGCCGTGCTGTCGTGCCAGCTGCGGGATGGCGGCCAGGGAGTGGTGGGACCCCCAGCCTCCCCCTCGCACACCCCCCGCCGGCCGCCCCCCGCCAACCCGGGAAGGGGAAAGGAGTCACCGTCGGAGTCGTAGTGGTGCCAGATCTCGAAGAACTGGGCGGCCGAGATCTCCACGCCCTGCAGGTGCGTCTCCGCCGTCATGGTGGGGGTGCGGAGGGGCTCAGTGGGGGCGCTGTCCGCGGTGCTGACTGTGCCCGCTGCCGGAGCGGCGACGGCGGCAGCTGCGGCGGCGACGACTCCGAGGGCTCCTCCCGCCGCCGCCCCGCCGAGGGCTATTTATGGGGCTGGCCCGGCACGGCCACTCCCCCCCCCCAGCGCTCCCCTCCCTCTCCGTGGGCCTCGGCGCTGCCTCCCGCCCTGGGCGGGGGTAGCCGGAGTTCTCCCGCCGGTGGCAGGGGCCCCGAGTTCTCGCCAAACATCCCTGCCCCCAGGCAGCTGCCTCTCAGTGCGAGGTGAGGGGTACTCGTTTGGGGCCCCGGGCAGAGACAGAAGTTGTTATGGGCCCCTCACCGTGGTAGAGTGCTCATGAGATGCAGAGGATCTCCCTGTTCAGCCATTGGGCTTCTGCCTGGGTAAGAGTCCTGTGTGTCCGAGCTCTGCAGGATGTCCCAGTGCAACAAAAAAACCCACATGAAACAGTATGTGGAAGCAAGGAATCTGCTTTGATCACACCATTTTTGGCTCCATAGTCTGGGAACAGAGATGGTGTATTTAAATATTTGGTCCTAATGTCATCCTAGCAGGTAGGAATGGAATACCACATAAGCTTACTCTTTCTCACTGCAGATGCTACCACAGCCTCTTCTAAATGCTAAGAGTTATTTTGGTACACAATCTTTGAATATTTACCCTCCTCTAGCAGTCGATTGGCGTGAGGAGACGGAGTAACTTATCAAAGATCTTCCTTCTATCACAGGATAGCATGGTGTTCGACCAGTAATAATGATTAGGTTCCCTTTGGGATGGATCATTTCAGTCTTTAGATTTACTTGGGTGCTCTTAGATGCTAAACCTGCCTTTCTTTCTCCTACAGTGTCCCTCGCACGCTACATTGAGTTAGCAGAGTTGAATGGCCAAGAGGGTTGGCTGACAGAACATTGCCAAATACGATAGGTAGCAGTTAAGATGGGGGATGAGAACAGCTGGGAAGCTTGGGAATCTCCTTGTGTTAAGTAACTGACATAAGCAGCAGTAAGTAGTATGTTAAGTCTCATATGTAATGTGAGGACCAAAACTGATGGGATAATGCATAACAGAAGATGGCAAAAAGCCAAGGGGAATGGATAACCCAGCAGGATGAGAGGAGGATGCTTAGTTAAAGTCTGACATGTCCTGAGAGAGATTTCAGTAGATTGGGTGGCTGAAATCTTGTATGCATTATGGAACAAGGTGTGGGCATAGCAATTAAGTAATCATGAGACCTTGTACTTGATTCCCTTCATCTTTCCATTCTCCTGTTTCTCCACCTGTTATGTGCAGCTTTCACTCATTCTCTTGCTATTTGGCTCTTCAAGGAGATATATCATGTAGGTCTGTGTTTTGTGATCTGCTGAACAAAGCATAGGTAAAATGAAGGGCACAAGTATTTGATAATTCATCTCTTTAGTTCGAAATATTTGTAAGTATTAGTGAAAAATGTTCACAAGGACTTTACAGCCACAAATACCTTTATGCACTTTTGAAATGGCTACAGTAACTTTAAATATTTACTTTCTATCTGTTTTTGTGCTGCCTTGTAAGAAATAAATAAATAAAAAATCATGGCTATATCAATTTCCCATATAGGTATTCTTTTTCAGAAACAGCTTTCTCAGAGAAGTAGACTTCAATGGGAGCCAGATCCTGAAACTTCTGTGCCTCTACATCTTGCCTTGAAATGAAAAATCGCATGCTAATGCATTTCAAGAAAGTAACAGTGATGACAAGAAAACAGAGCATTCATGAGGCTTTTTTTTTTCTTTGCTTTTTTTTTTTTTTTTTAACAAGAGCAAGTACCTGGCAGGGCCCTGGCCATGACAGCGGAAGTACAGAGAATTGAGCCTGGGACTATCCTTTTACCTGGGAAAGACAACAGGGTGCTAGTGACGCAAGGACACTGGAAGGAGACAAAGGTGGAATTGGCATTTCCATCATTTTTACACAGAAGAGATCTGTGCCAATGAGGCAACCTCTTGTATTTGCCAAGCATATTGAATTACTAAGTTCAGTGCAGAATTTCAGCTTCCAACAGCATGCTCAAATGGAAAGTGAGTGTTTCAACAGTTCTTTGACTTGCATTTTATGTTGATTTGCTCCTTGCTGTGCACCATTTTCAAATGGTGCATCAAACCTTGTCCTTGTTACCTGTCACTGACCCAGAAGTCTGTTTCTGGATGATAGAGAAGAATTCAGCATTGTTTGGAGCCAGCCCAACCTTTCTTATCTGATTTCTCAGACTTTTAAGAGAAAAGGAGCTGTAATATTTACATTTTCAAAAGTTCTCAGAATAAAATATTTTGCATAGGTCACATGTGGCCAAGATGGCTTGGAAAGGTCTCATAGAAACTTTGAAAATACTCTGCTTCCTCTGACCAGGAACGTGCATAATCATATGCTGGTAGGATACTTGGATGCACTGTTGTGCTAACAACTACAAAATCACTGCTGTCTACAGAGCATTTATGTATTATTGTGCATTGTGTCTGAAATAGTGTATTGAAATGAGTGGGTTTGTATGTTCCTGCTTCAGCACTTGAAGTGATTCTGCACAGACATAAAAGTAGCAGACATTTCCATGCAAAAATAACCACTTATATAACTAACTGCACATCATATTTTCATGATTAATGAATTACCAAGCCACCATTCATATTTAATCCTACTGGACTCTGCTTCTTATGCAAAACTAAATCAGAAACTGGTCATTTCAATTCCATGAAGCTATTAATTTCCATTGGAAGAGAAAGCACTAGAAAAGGTCTAAAAATGCAGATATATACAGGATGTGATCCATAACCCAATGAAGTCCATGCAAATTTTTGCAATGACTCTAGAGGGCTTTATACAAGGACAAAGTTCTTCATATTTTCAGAAATTATATGTGTGGTAATGTGCATATTCCACACACTAATTAATGAATTACTTCACCAAGGAGCATAAGCTTTGTCATTCATTTTAGCTAGAGCTACTTGAAGTTCTCATTACAAAAAAATGAGCCAGATCCATATCCAGCAGAAATCATGGAAGCTACAGTGAAGCCAGCTGGGAACTTAACCCAGAATCTAAGTGGATATGATTTTCTTTGAAAGCATTTGTTGTTCATAGATGTTCATCAAATGCTTTTAATTAATATATTTTGCATTTAGACTTTCTGAAACTTTCTAGTTATAACTACCAGACTTCTGTCTTCAGTCTCTGAAGAGGTTCTAGATATAATATCCCAACGGTTTCTCAAGATGTGTAGAAATCAAATACACTACTCACAACAGCAACTCAATCTAAAATATGCCCAAATAAAAAGCAAGGAATGGCAAGGTCAGACATTTAGAACAAGAAGCATCAATGGAGAAGGAGAAAAACACAAAAATATTTCATCATGGCTTGAAGCATCACAAATTTGAATTTTGACAAGCATACAGTACAAGAGACACCCAAATTTAAGTATTTTCAAATGAGAATATCCTACATGAGAAATGCACCTTTTCATCAGAGAAAAAGGATATAAATGATGTCAATACTGAACAAAGACAAATACTTCTATGTGTACAAAGTCTTGCTAATGCTAGTCTTAATGGTGACAGATGCACAGATAGATAACTTTATCCTGGGAAACCAATACATTGGGAAAACTTCTTTCTCTGGCAGATCTTTGATCCAGATACTCAGATAAAATTTCCAAGCTTACTTGTGACACATCGACCAGACAGAAAAGCTGGAACAGTGTTGGTACCTGGTTTGGACTGTGGCAGAGTTTGCCAAGTAGCACTGTGCTCAGAAAGGCAGCTAGTTGCCAGCACATGTGGCTTGCCATGGGTTGAGGAATGTGTTATTCTCACAATATTTCCATAATACTACTGGACAGTGTATCTCTTACCTAAGTGAGATCACATCTGGAGTACTGGGTTCCAGTTCTGGGGTCCAATTTGAGAAAGACACAGAATGGCTGGAGACAGTTCATCTGCTATCCTGTATGATCCTTGAGGCCATCGGAGCATTTCTTTCTTTTCAACTCACTTCCTTCAAGGACAACATGGATGTTCAATACGGCTCCATCCAGCACAGCTCCTTCCAGCCCAACAAATGCCAAGGGCAGGGAATGTGAGCCCACAGCTCCTGCCCTGGGGGTACAGCCTGTTGATTGAAGGAATCCATCAATATGTTAGCTCTACAAATGCACAAAAAGCTGTAATGGAGAGCTGGCATCCCAGTGCCACCAGGAAAGGACCCTGAGGTAGGTGAGATCAGTTTGATGCTCAATACTATAGAAAATCTGGGAAACGACAGCAATTCTTCACAGTGAAACTTAAATTATACTCCTGAATCAAATCTTATCTGTTCCAAGGTGATGTTTACTGGTGTTTTTTCTTTTACTCTGTAGGCCTAATTATGAAATTTAAAAGATGCTCCAAGATGACCCAACCCTTGCTCTCTCTTATCTCCCACGGTATCTTAATACTGAGGGAGTGTGTGGTCTTTTATATTTGCAAGGAAAGCTACCCCTGGCATTAATAAATCTTCAGCTGGTGCCTTGAGTTCCCTGCACCAGGGAGCACTTCTAAGGGGAGATGGGCTGTTGCTCATGGACAGAGTGCTTTTCTGCTAGTCAGATTCAATACTTATTAAAATCAGTATCTGTCTTTTTCTTGATTTCATAGAATCATAGAATCAGAAAACTGCTCAGGTTGGAAAAGACCTTCAAGATCATCACATCCAACCAGTATATAACCGTACTGCCCTAGGTCTAACAACTCTACACTAAATCATGTCCGTGAGCACCACATCCAAAGGATTTTTAAACACATTCAGGGATGGTGATTCAACCACCTTTCCAGCAAGTTTCTGCAGGATTTTTTTTTTTTTTTTTGTGGCTTATGTTGCATTATGCAAGACTGTATTTTTATTATCTTTTACTTCATTATGGATAATGTGTACTTTCACATAATCCCAAGCAAATATGGCACAATGTAATAGTCCAGCAAACAGTTAACTGGAGAGTTTGTGCTACTAACCTGCTACGTGGTTGGTTACTGAATCTTTCAGAGCCTCATCTTTGTGAATGATCTTACCAGGAGACTGCTAGAAACTTAGTTACCTGATTTTGGAGGGTTTCCTCTGTGGAGGATTTTGCAGTGCCTTTTGAATACTTAGGACTGTGTGCAGTTCACAGCACAGTATGCTTGCTCTGGCTTAGCAATTAGGCTCTGCAATGGGAAACAGAGTGGGATGTGTGTCACTGTCTGCTATTCCCAGAGTCCTTGGCTTCTGAGCACCAATTTTTGGGGAAAAGAAACATTAAACGGTATTTGGGATCAGTCCCCAACAAACAGAAGGGGATTGGAAAGCTTCTCCTCTCTGTATGTTCCCTTAACTAAAGTTAATGTGAAGAGAACGAATCAAGAGAAACACAAACTGTCCTAGAGCAGCTGTGTAGGATAAAAGCATACTGTTAATTTGTAACTAGGAAATGCAATGTTCTCTGGAAAAACTGAATTAAAAATAATAAACTGGAATATTTTCTTGCTTGTGCTCAGAAGCTCACAATTTCTGTCCTGTCCAGTCTTTGTGCTGTAAGGGTCTATCACAACCTTGTTGCTGCTTGAAAATTTAGACATTTTAACAGGACTATGGACTGTGGAAGTGTTCAATAGGCAACCTCAACCTTTTGTAAATAATGGAAAAACTTGCATTATCTCATTCCAAATTCTTTTATTATAGTTATAACTCAACCCATGCAACTTCAAAGTCATAAAATTACATGACGAGAGTCTCAAAGTGTAATATGGAAAAAACAATAAGTAAAGCAAACAATATTATAAGGTGAACAAGTTCATCTTTCAGGTCTAGTGAACTCAAAACTAGCTCAGCAAAAATGTCATAAGTGCCACTGTAATAAAGATCTCAGTAACTGCATGCTGATACACAGCAGTGTGAGTTCTTGGTATTGGCAGAAATCGATTCAGCCTCTGGCTGTAAGGCTGCAGAAATAGGCACGTAACTATTTATTTATTTTCTGTGCAAACTGCCAACTGTAGTTCTGCTGCATGGTCCATTCTTACAGTTCTCACTGAAGATCAATGGCTGCTAAACTTGCATATCAAAGGGAAAACAACTCTTCCACATGCTACTATTTATCTCCCAAATGATGTGAACTCTTTTTACAAAGATTGATGAATTCTTTTTTTTTTTTTCTTTCATGTTTTTACCAGCTTCTCTCCCTTCTTTCTCCCAGACTGGGAAAAAAAAATGTGGTTTTATCAACATTACATTGGGAACTCAGACTTGCTGAGTATTTTCCATCTCTCTGATGTACAAAAATGTTTAGTGTTCTTTAAAAATGTAAATAATTTTCTTTGTAGATGAGTTCAATATCAGAAAAGAGAAGTTTAGTAAGTAATCTCTGTATTAAATCTCCAAGGCGTTTTGATGAGAATTGACAGCTATTTCTTAGTAACTCATGGATATTATATCAGTGTCTGGTAAGTATAGCTGCTTCTTGGAAGCTTGTAAAAGATACTTTAAAAAGCATTTATTTTACTTTATTTTGTCTACCTGCTTTCTCTAGGGTTCAAGATTAGAAGCTTTCCTTCCAACACTTCAAAATATAAACACTTAAAAAAACCGTCCAAGGTTTGCAGCAATTATTTGTTTTGATGGAGGAGCTAGAGTCATTTCTGAGCAAAGATCAGGGCCTCTCCTCATGATCATGGAAAGAAATGCCATTTACAACAGCCAGAGAATGGAAAATGTTAGCAAGTCAGAGCAAACAGAAGATAAACACTAGGCTTTCACAACACAACAGTGCAGTGTGTCCAACTTGTTATCAGTTTACAACTTCAGACTCAAAACCCTCTTTCCGAACTGACGAAGTTCTTTGTTCCTCCTTTATTGAGCTGTGCCTGTGCTGCTGTACTGTTCCCACAGTGCCTCCTGCAACACTGGTGCTGTGCAGCTAGCAGCTAGCAGAAGTTTAAAAGCTGTACAGTCCAACTTATGCTGAGTGAGGGGTTTTAGTACCTACCAACATTACATTAATGACAAAGTTCTTTCTGTCTTTTCAGGCATGGAAGTAGCTACAGGTGAGGCTGCTGGTTAGACTGGATGGAAGCAATGATTCCAAGTGAAAGCAATGTAAATTGGGAAGAGTTCATCCTATATTTAAATAGCTATAAACTAACCAGATCAATGAAATGTGATGGTTCACATTGCAAACATACCAATTCACCAGGTTTAGCATTCAGACATGAGAACATGTGTCACGAAAACAACCACTCTCCTGCCACAACACAAACTTACTTGTCTGTGCTTTTCCCTCAGTCTCTCCTAATTGCAGCGCAAGACTGATCTCAGCTCCATGTTCCTAGTCCCCCATTTGTTTGTGAGAGTGGCACAGGGGCACTTACAAAAGACTTTTGTCTTCCAGAGTCCCACAGGCAGGATTTTTCACAGTTTTTCCTTGTTATCCTCTATTAGCTGCAGTAGTGTTCTTCACCTGGGGCATGGAAACCCCACATCTTCAGGTGCTGGGCTGGCTGCCAGGTGCCAGCTGGTCTGCAGTGAGCATGGCCCAGAGGCACTGGAAGGAGTGCAATAGCCCGAGGTCCCTACAATGTTTCAGCAATGCCTTGCTGGCTAAATAAGTTGCTCAGTGTCAGAATGGCTCTGTTTTGAAATGTCTATCCCTCTGCTTCTCATCATGTCCCTACTCTTCCCACAACCTGGAAGAGGGTAAGAAAGAAGTTGGCTCCATGCCATGGAAAAGCATAGAGGGCAAAAGTGACTGATAAAAGCTATCCCCTCTAAACCAGGTCCTCCACGACCTGAAATGAAGTGCAAATTGTTGACCATGATGTTCAGAGGTAAGTCTCTCAGAAAGCTACAAATAATTGAGTAAACCACCCAAAAAAGAGCAAAACATTAGCTTAACACCAGCTGTGGTGTGCCTTTGTGAAACGTAGGGGAGGCTCTGAGATTAACCTTATTCCTCCCCCTGCTTCTCCATGACCTGAGCTCCTATCATCTGTGAGAAGACAAACTACCCCTGTTTTGTTGTAGACAGAGCTCTAGTAACAATTCTGGAAATCATTCTGCAAGTGGAAGGACAGACATGCCAGGAGACATGCTATATTTGTGCCAACACTATGACTTGCCCAGCTCCGCTCAAGTCCTGCAGTTACCCTAAGTAGCTATACTCCCCTAACTAAAATCTTGCTCTCACTCTCTCTCTTTTTCTTTTAAAGATGCACTTTTCTCTTTACTTTAGGAATAGCCTACGCGCCTTTTGGACTGACTTGCCCTTTTCTTTGTGGTGTTATCAAAGACATAAACAAGCCTTTCCAGCACTTGTCTAGTGACAGACAACAATCTTTTTCACATTACAAAACATTTTCCATTGAGAAGCCAATTGCATATAGCTGTATTAGTCCTTATAATTAATGTTTCAAGTCAGCTGAGGATGTGTTATGTGGAAGCTGGAGTGTGGCTTCTTTTAATTCAGAGTGACAGTAAACATATGTATATGTCTGCCTTGTTGATGCTTTGCAAATTGATATAAAAGCTGTAGCACAAAGATCTTCTCCAGTTTCTTACACAGGACTCACTTTCTTCCCTTTTGCTACCCATAAATCTTCAGGGTCATCTGTTCCTAAAAGTGATGTACAAAGCAGATACAATTCAAGAAAGTGGGAGGAGGCTTTGATTTCACAGGATAGCATAGTGGGCTGTCTGGATTCTTTAGGTGAAAAAGTCAGCGGAAGCTTCTCAATGGTGAATTCTTCAAGGGCAGATCACCGGTAATTATGACTCATATCCACATATTTAAAAGACACAAGCACACAGCAACACCTTTCTCTTAAAATCATGATGATCAAAACATATCTGAGACTAGTGTGTGGAAGTTGTGTCTCATTAAGTCCCATCCATAGTGATCCCCCTTTCCTTAACCAAAGTTCAAGCAGAATTTTTGCATTTATCCTCTGTGCAGGGCATAGTGAAAAGCTGCCTCAGTCTGGAAAAGTCTGCAGACAGTCTCGAATGTTTTTTGAAAGTCTTTAAATCTTGAGAACAGGTCTTTTTCGTTAACTAATATGGTTGTAATGTACCCAGTCCCATAGCTCTTGGGAAGTCATTCATCCTTTCCCTGTCAAATGGTCACGAAGTAGGCATATTATGTCTGTGTGAAAAACAAAAAACATGCTTTTGGGAGGCAGAATGATTCATTTGATCAAACCAGCTTGACTGCTGCTTTTCACACTCACAGGCAACCCATACCACCCGGGGTGTGCAGCAACCTATGAGCACATCCACTCGTGTGCTGTGCTGGGGAAGAGTGGGCTCAGCCATTGGTGGCAGGAGCTGGAAGGACCAATACCCACTTCATTCCACCTCAGCAAGCAGGGAGATATTCTCACTGCTGTGAGAATATCTTATGAGAATTTTTTTTTTTTTTTTTTTTTTTTTTTTTAAAGTTTATTTAAAGAAAAAAGAAACTCAAAGATGCTTGTGTTAAGAAGGAAATATCTTAAGGCTTCTTCTGGATGAGCTATATTTTTTGTCTGAATTCCATCTAACAACCTTACGTCTTTGGTATTTGAAATCTCCTCTAGAGAAAAAGTTTGGGTCTTCTGAATCCTACTGTTGTGATACAGAAAACTTTGAAACTTTGATGGTCTCTTGAGGTTGAGTAAATTTATTAATAATGTAAGCTAAATGAAAGCCTAATGTGATTTTTTTTTTTTTTTTTTTTTTTTTTTTTTTTTTGTGCTTTGAACCGAAGTTGTTAACAAGTGCTAAAAACAAGTTAAAATGTAACACTTTGTTGCTCAGTTTTTCAAATGCCTCTTTCTTTTACCTAAGAGCAGGAATGTCTGGCAAGAGATTAATTTGTATTGTTTTGTCAGCTGACTGGTACTCTCCAATTTAGAGATTTATATCAAACTCTGAGGTCTGTATTGAGGTGTCTATGAACACACTGTATGTCTTTCCAAAACTCAAGTTCACAGAAATCCTATTAAATAAAAAAAAATAAATAATAATAAAAAAAGCTGCAGATATTCACTGGTACTTCATGAAGGCTTTTGTCCTGCAGGCAAAAGATTATCATTATCGTCAATTTTATGGCCCTTTATGGTATGGACTGTAGCTTCAAGATGGGAGAAGGTGAACTTTTCCTAAATCTCATCAGTGGGTTAAACCAATTTTTCGATGAAAGCCACAGCTAACATGATTTCAGCTTCAAGAGCCACCAAAACAGACACATTTCTGGGCCCAAAATGTCTTTGAATTTAGATGTGTGATGTTTCATTTAACTCTCCTGAGCTCAAGATGCTAGTCTGAAGAGTCTAAATGTTCCATGTCTCTACAATTCGGTGTAGGCTGAGTAATCATCAAGAAATAGCATCAAATTAGGGTCAAGTCTTCCCAGCACTGAAAGAGAAGAGATGAAATGAACAGTCTAAGATAAAACTAGTTGGGTCAAACATAGTTAACTTGACTTACTGGTGGAGATCTATTTTAAACTTAACAACTTCGTATTGTTGCAGGCATTGCACTATCAGACTGGTTAGCACCAGTTGCTCTCCCGGATATGCACTCCAGATTAACCAGGCATGAAGTAACAGCTCCTTAATATAGGTTTCTATTTTTGTTAGCAGGTGTAATCCTCACCAGGTAAAATTTCTCTTTCTTTCCCCTGATACATGCAAGGTTTTAATAACATCAGTTGCTTTAAAACAGAGACAAAGCAGTTGAGAGTAGTCATTTGTGAGTGTTTTACACTGGTGCATAAAAGTATATGGAACCATGAATTTAGGTGCACTTGTTTTATTGCTTTTCCTTGACAATGCTGAAGTCTTTCCACTGCCTTTAAGTATATGATGTTTGTAAAGCGTGAGTTAAATCACCGCTCAGCCAAAGATACCAGCTGTTGGAGACTACTAGCTAGAGATGTACCTCTGCTTTGGTCTCCATTATCAACTTTTCTGTTCTTTTTTCATCCCCTTGTGGACTCAAAAACAGTCGAGAATTATTCAGAATATTCTGTCTTTGGTAGGAGACTCCAAATCATCTTTTTTTTATGAAATCAGAAAAGCCAACAATAACGGAAACAAACAACTAAAACAAAATATGTCAGTTTTGGTAGTTGTTATAAAACAAGAAAGTCAATTACTCCCTGTTTTTTCAAAACAAGGATTTAATTAGGAGGGTGGTAAGGAAAAAGGACCATAAGCTTTTAGCTAGAAATACTCATATTTTATCCAACTCCTGCAGCCTTGCCTCAGTAAGGCACCTTCATGCCGGTATCAGGTCACCCTGCTCAGGGAATCTCATGCTCCTGGAAGGAGTCCCAAATACCAGAGCCCTAGCACTCCCCCAGCTTGGCTCTGTATCATACACACGCAGCAGCCCTAATGCAGCTGAGCTGGATGCTGGTCAACCCCAGTTCAGGGAGACCCAGTGGCTGGGCAAAATGAGTTTAACAGCTGATAGCATCCCTTTGTGCTGCCCACGAGGGAGGCTGGACTGGGTGAGCAAACAGCTCTCAGTAATTAAGAAATCCTTTATTAACTCTAACGCCTGCTAGGAGAAGTAGGGGAGGCTGGAGAGACGATGAAACTCCAAGTCAGGGAAGAACAATAGCCACTTAGGAACCCTTCATTATGCTGACAGCAGTGCCAGGAGGTCTCTGACTTACAGCTAGCAATACATTTGTCACAACGACTTGAAATCTAAGCTTGTTTATTGCATTGTTGTCTGCGATTGCTGTCAGATGTGTGGGTAACCCATTTGTGAATGGGCTGTCCAGTTTTGTGTTCCCACTTGTGTTAACACAGTGTGCATCTGGGAAGGAAGCATTTTATCTGCAGAACATATACTTTAATAATAAAGGAAGGAAATTAAAAAATAGAGATAAGGAGGAATCACTTCTATTTGTAATCAGTTCTATTTGTAATTTCCTTGTGTTTCTAGATTCAAGAGCTGCAGGACAAATATTTTGGCACCTGCAAGTGCCCTGTGCTCATCTTTGTGGCCCTTCTCTGAATCTGCTCCACATCTTCCCTGTGCTGAGGGCTCCAGGCCTGGACATAATACTCCAGATCTCCATGAGGGGCTTTAAAAGGGCAGAATAGAGGGGGAAAATCACCTCCCTAACCCTGCTGGCCACTGCACCAAAAGTGCAGTCCAGGATTCTGTTGGCCTTCAGGGCTGCAAGAGCACATTGCTGGATAATGTCCAGCTTTTTGTCCATCGGACTTCCAAGTCCTTCTCCACAGGGTGGTTCTCAATGAATTATTCTCCCAGTTTGTATACATATCTGGGATTGCCTTGACCCAAGTGCAACACCTTGCACTTGACCTTGTTAAACCTCACTGGGTTCTCTTGTACCCACT